GGACAACCGAGGTGAAAATTTGGCCCAGTTGCCAGGATGAAATATTTTCGATAGTGTGAAGTCTTTTCTGCAATTATTTTTATAGTTCTTGACATTACATACGTAAAAGAGACAAAACAAAAGGTTGCAAATACTGTGACCTGCACAGTTGAGCTTAGAGACAGGAAGTTTTACCGTGCAGTTTGATCGTTGAAACACACAACTTATCAAGGGCAAACTCAAATGTTGTCAAGTGGAACTGTGAATGTTTTCATTGGAAATTTAGGCACTTCTGGGCAATCATAGCAAAGAAGGCGCAGAAATTATGTGACTGGCCAAAAGTGCCTAAATTTCCCATGAAAACATTCACATTTCCGCTTGACAACATTACGATCAAACTGTGCGGTAAAACTTCCTGTTTCTAAACTCAACTGCAAATCGCAGTATGTGCTTCAATAGCGGGTCTCTGTAAAGAACGGAAACCGAAACAACCGAATCCGGAAACGACCGAAACCAGAAATTCCCACCTAATTTCCCTGCATAAAATTGCCTAAAATTTAGCCTGCGAGCAGGCTCACCGGGATAATAAACAAAGACTTTCAAATTGACGCAGGGTGTGAAATGTACAACAAAGAAATGTGTAAAACAAGTGTAACTCCGAAGATCAATAACATTTTTATATTGACCGGCCACATTTTCATACATTTCCCTAGAATTTTAAATCGTTTTTTCTCCTCAGCATATGATGTCTGCTGAAATATTGTCAGAGAAAAACTGTACATTTCATCGCAAGTACGCAATTTCACCGTAAGTACGTCGAGTTATGTACGACAAAAACATAGTATATGCTGAACTTGAAAGGTTTCAACTTTGTTTTAATTATGTTGTTTTAATACTCAGATTTTTCTCAAAAGTGATTGGCTTCAAGTAAAAATTCCAGACTCTTCGTCGCCTAACGAATCAGCTGGGGTTTTTTTGGGTAGCACCACTTGACTAATGCCTCTCTTATCGTCTGGATTTGGGCGATCAAGGATTGTACGAAGTGTGGAGGGAAAACCATCATATACGTCTGCATTTTTTGCAAGACTCAATTTGCATATGCTCTGTGGCTTGCTAAAACACTAGGTTACAGCGAAGAAAATTTTCTTGTTGGAAAATGTAAAGAAGGTAGCTGCGAAAGTAGTCGCACGACACAAAAGCCCTCAGGATTTTCAGCGGCAAAACTGAAACCTCGACAATCAGATCGGCAAACAACTCTGGTAACGACGATAACGTTACCTGTTCACCTTTATATATAGGGACTGCTAACGTCTTAACTAAGCGTTTAAAACATGACAAAGCAATAAAAGTTGTCTCAAGACAAATTTCTTATAACTTTTTTTCACTGTTAGTGCACAAGTATTAGTGACCGGTCGAAAACAGATTTTGACCGAGCTAAAATCAAGATGACCGGAGACCTATCGGCTGTTATATTGAGCCCTGCAAATATAAAAAATACACATACAAGATACACATATAAAGCCGAATAAAATACTACCATTGAATGCAATAATACTTGTACTACTTGTGATTGAAAGAACAAAGTTCTGAATATTTGAATCCATTAAAATGCAGTCAGATAAATTGGGATTTGGAAACATGTAAATGAGCATGTATTTATTTATTTTTTAAATCACGAAGCGTGCCATTTTAGTGGAAGCCATATCGGATGTCAAATGAGAAAGTGAATGCAATATCGTTTTTGTCAAACAAAACCAGCATTGTTCAGGAAGATGCAATAAGATTATTGAATAATTTACAAAATTGTTAGCAGTTAAATAGTATACAACCTTGTGACATTCAGAGGATATTTATCTAAATGACATGCCAGTGATCTAGCATCAACAATATAATTTGTATTTGTTTATGCAGGAAATTAGGTGGGAATTTCCGGTTTCGATTGTTTCCGGTTTGGGTTAATTTCGTTCTTTACAGAGACCCTTCAATGTTTACAAAATAGCGAGTTTTGAAGCAAAAATTAATTTTGAAAGTTGTCCCAGGAAAGCCAATTGAGTGCATTGTAAACAATTTCTAGCCCAGCAAGCTGGATAAAATTTCCTTATATATTAAACGCAAGCAAAATTCATCCTGCGAAGAGGGCCAACCCTGCTTTTCCATATAAAACAGCCCTGTAGAAATGTTTCTTACAATATTTTTAAATTCCCCCCCCCCTGACCTTTTTAATTCTCAAATAGTTCATTACACATTTATTGGTTAGTGTTAGAAAAGGGGTTGGGGTCTGTTTATCCATACCTTATCTTAAATATTCCGACTACAGTACAAATAGCAAATGGGCTATTCCATTTAATATCCGTACCCCCCCTGTCGAGGATACATGTTTTTCATTGTCATACCCCTGAAGAATTCCAAGCTCAAAACTGTTTACCCCTGAAGAATTCCAAAATTCCAAGCTCAAAACTCTTTACCCCTGAAGAATTTCAAGCTCAAAACCTTTTACCCCTGAAGAATTCCAAAATTCCAAGCTCAAAACCCTTTACCCCTGAAGAATTCCAAGCTCAAAACCTTTTACCCCTGAAGAATTCCAAGCTCAAAACCCTTCACCCCTAAAGAATTCCAAGCTCAAAACCCTTTACCCCTGAAGAATTTCAAGCTCAAAATCTTTTACCCCTGCAGAATTCCAAGCTCAAAACCCTTCACCCCTGAAGAATTCCAAGCTCTGAAAAATTTCAATCTCAAACCTCTTTACCCCTGAAGAATTCCGAGCTTAAAACCCTTTACCCCTGAAGAATTCCAAGCTCAAAACCATTTACCCCTGAAGAATTCCAAACTCAAAACACTTTACCCCTGAAGAATTCCAAGCTCAAAACACTTTACCCCTGAAGAATTCCAAGCTCAAAACCCTTTAGGGACCGTCGACAAATAGATTTCGTCCCGCATCGCGGACTTGGGCCGCGATGGGGGGGAGGGGGGAGATAAGAATCCGCGATTACAAAATATTTGGGACGAAAACTGACTTTAGAAATATAATACGAAGATCAGAAGAAAATGTAGTACATTTTAAATAATATACTCACAAAAAGTTCGGAGGCAAAAAAAGCGGACAAAGCTCAACAACAATACTTCGTTTGATATTTACATTTCGAAGTACATAACCTATGCCCGAACCTATTACGGTTAATTCCGATTTGATATGTGTTGCCGCTGGAATAACTGATCGCGGCCGAATATTTTGTGTTGACTTTTCTGACTAAGTTCGCAGTTCGACACAACCTTTCTAGTTTCGTTCAATCGGGGATATAAATATTGCATTTGTGGACAACAAATCGGGTATTTATAACTTACAACTGCTATACAATACGGAAAATAGTTTTTATTTATTACAAGCATTAGCTGATTGTAATGTTAAAAGTCAGCATTACATACTGTATTCTTGCCTATAGTAGACCGCTCACAGTCATATTTCGGATAATATTTTGGACCATAATTTCGATTCTCTTTGGATTTTTTACTTGTCCGCGATGAGGTAGGGGGGGAGGGGGTTCAAACAATCGCGGCCCAAGTCCGCGATGCGGGACGAAATCTATTTGTCGACGGCCCCTTACCCCTGAAGAATTCCAGGGATCCTCGACAGGGGGGGTACGGATATTAAATGGAATAGCCCAATCAAACTCGGCATCAAACTACGTACTGTTCCAGTACTTCGTATTAATATACAACTAAATGAACTAATTATTAAAAATTAAACTGACCTTTAAACAGAAGATATTGATTGGCTTGTATATATTGGTTTCTTTGTCATATAGTTCAATTGCTGTTGCTTGTAAATGTTTTATAAACCAGTACTGCGATGTAGCGAAATTTCGGGCCGTCTTTCACAACAAATAACATCACAATAACTGCACATCTTTTTTTCTTTAATACAGAATCGTTTTCCCCGTCCATTGAGTTATAATTTGCAAAACTAACCAGTCGCTATAACGTAAAATAAGCGGGTATTTGTGAACAAAAATGCCCTTTGATATGACACGAGGTAACCGGCGCCATCTTGTCTTCTCCAAACATTACAGATTTTCCCGCCAAAACCCGCCCCCGAAGTCCCGTATGTAACTGACGTCACAAGTGTTGTGAACGGGGGGGGGATACCATATTTGGTGGTAATTTTTTTCAAATATACGCACTAAATCCAATTTTAATCTCTTTAGCTTCGCTACTTTTGCTTTCCACATATTGTTTGACCCAACCACGATTGTAACATAACAATGTTTGCTTGCTAAACATTTTAAAATCAACAAAAATACAGTATTATTAAATAATATCTTCGGCAAGTTCGTTCCCAGGTCTTCGGGCGATAATCTGAAGTTGTCTGAGCCACTGAACTGTATACAGAACTGAATAGAAAGTCATTTTTTACATTCAAACCTTACTTCATCAGGGTTTTTTTCAGGGATTTTTTTAACTCAATCTTGAATTGAGTTTTGAAACTCAATCTTCTCACCAAAGTTTCAGTGGAGTAAAAATGAAGTTGTTTGAGTTATAAAATTTGTGACGTGTCGGAATTAGTTTTCAGTTGGAAGCCTGACAAGCCATCTTTAACCAGTTTATAGTGTCCTTGCTTTAACACATTCAGTCTCAATTACATTTATTGAGTACAGGTGTCAGGCCCCGGTAGGGGTGGGGTGGGGGGGGGGCGGGTGCAGCCACCCCAACTGTTCAGCTAAACTCAATCTTCTCTGCAAAAACGGACCCAAGAGAAAATCCTGTTCATATAACCATGGATAATAAAATAAATGTTATTTTACAATCCATGATGGGTTTAACCTAGCTTGTTTTGGCTTGAACAACATGGCCGCTGAAATTTTCAAAAAAAGCATGCCAACAAAACTAGCTTCATAGCATGTACATAGCATACACTTTATAAAATGCTTAAAAAAATGGAGCTAAAACCACCTGCATTGCATCGAGGGAATTACATTCTCCAAGGGGTGTTTCAAAATTGGAAAATTTGGTATCGGAAGCGGAAAAAGTTGTTGGTATATCAAACTAGTCTGGTTCAATGCCTTTTAAGGACCATCTACACAATGCGATTTTTGCTTACAATTGTTGTATGCAACTTGCTGACACCATCCCTGGGACGCAAATCGTGCCGTGTAGATAGCCGTACAATTTAAAATCGTGCAACTTCCATACATTTTTTATGAAAAATAGTTCAAAATGGCGGACATCAACGAGAGAAAGCGAAATTGGTACGCTTCCTGTTCAAAGTGTGAACAAGGCAAAGTAAAAAAAAGTAGAAAGAGGGTCTAATATATCTCTCGGTTGGAAATGACACATACAATAATCGTACTGTATAGAAAGACGACACAAAGTCGCAGGGATGGGGTCAGCAAGTTGCATACAACAATCATAAGCAAACATCGCATTGTGTAGACATCTTCGACATCTGTTGTTAAAGATGGCTAGGAGGTTGCTGTATGACAGGGGCAGAGAGTTTTGAGGCAGTGGGGTTGATTGTTTTGTTAATGTTGCAATGTGGCAAGGGGGTTAATGACTGAGGGTGCCCCCCTTGGACAACAGCCTGTGAGCAGTATTTAGCAAAAACAACGCAAGCTAGCCGAAGTTGCTGAAATGATTAATAAAGGTATTCTAGAAATGGGTGCTGAAATGAAATTCCATGGTGTGGGGTGGAACTTTGCCTGACTGGAAAGTTTGGAAAATTCAATAGTATATCTAGAAAGCGTATAGAAATATCCGCTGATCTTCGTGATCAATCGTAAAAAATTCCAAATGTGAAAATATAAATGATTTTTCGATTGAACTAATAATCGTGGTCATACTAACAACTACCATCAACAACCGACAACAAGCAGCAAATTACTGACAACAAGCACACAATTACTGCTACAACAAGCTCACAATTTGAATTACCGACAAGCTGAAAAATACCGACAACAAGCAAATACATACTTTCATTGAATTCTTATAGTTATTTGTATGAATGCATGGCTGTATGAATTGATGTAAATAATTTATAGCTTGTTTCTGTTTGTTACTATTAAACATTTTAGACACATTATACGTATACACACTTTATAGAAGTTGGTAGTTATATTATTATAGATAATAGGTTTATAGTTAATACTGATTTTCTACTTGAAATTTCGTTTCCTATCTATACTTTTATATGGTGTCTGCCTACGTGAATCCATCATCTTTAATAGCAGAATGTTTTAACTCAACAATGTTTGACAAAATCTGTCAAACTTATATATTTTGGGTTTCTTCAAAAACAACCAAATAACTATAAGAATACAATGAAAGTATGTATTTGCTTGTTGTCCGTATTTTTCAGCTTGTTGTCGGTAATTGTGTGCTTGTTGTCGGTAATTGTGTGCTTGTTGTTAGGGGTGCACCGGATTTCAAATCCGGCCGGATTTAACAAATTTTCCGGCCATCCAGCCGGATTTGGACAAAATCCGGCCGGATTTAAATTTCTGTTTTCACCTCAAAATATTCAAGAATGGGGTAAGCCATCAATTTGGCAGCTTTAAAGTTTAAAAAACACTTATATTATTATAAAATATTAAGTTATTAACAAAAATATATTTAAAAAAGGTTTAAACACAATCAAAAATCTAAACTGACACTAACTAAAAATAGTAAAAAACATAATACTGAATTATCACAATTTATACCCAATTGGGACCATTACTGGTTTATCTCAAATCCGGCCGGAATTTTTGCCCAAAATCGGTTCCAGCCAGATATGAAAATTCCAAATCAGGTGCACCCCTACTTGTTGCCGGTAATTGCGTGCTTGTTATTAGTAATTGTCGGTAATTAGTATGACCCAATAATCGTACTGAAGTATGGCACCCGATTCTTAGCCTGCTCACAGACGTTGTTATTCTTATGCCAAACGACGAATTACTACCGTCTGCTTACCCGAGCTGCATATTCAATTCCCTTTGTTTTAGGAGCCAATCATCTGGCAGTGTTCAAAAGAGTTAGAGCCAATTGGAAGCCGCCTTATTGAGAGATTAGCTACTGGGGAAAGCCCTTGCACATGCATTGGAATATATTGTTTGCATTGAAACTTGAAATTTGTTACTTGTGTGTGGATATATTTTGGAAACTATAGCGTTGAACTTTACAATGTTTACGTAGAATAATATTGTGATCATCTTCTCGCATGTTGAGCAAACAATTGGTGTATATAAAGTGCTAGAGCAATGCAGTAGGCGAAATTTAAATTTTTGTTAACAATGTCAATGACAAACAATCAATCGGGAAACTCGAGTATATCAGGATATGTCCAAATGTTGCTCTTGATACTTCCTATATGCCATGACTTTGACGAAAACTTCTAAAAGATTAAGCTCTCATTGTCATGTAGAAAAGTATAGCCAAGTTAGAGTATAAACATTTCAAAGTTTGGGCGAATTGGAAAATTCATCACGGCACAATTAGTTTACTTTGAAGCTAATATTTTGCCACAGTATTATATCAAATTTTCTGTCTTCCGAGTTCTGTTGTCTTATAAAGATAAACATCCGTCAAAAGTTCAAATTTCAGCGAAATATATTCAGCTTTTGATGCTGTCTCGCCTGTTTGGCTTCATACATTATATTAAATATGCCAATCTTGTCCACGTTTTAAATATAACCGAACATCTTTAATATCCAAATATGATCATTAATGGTGCATTTTATTACCTGGACAAGTATCTTTAAAATCAATTTATGTGCAATTTTGAGCAAAATTCAACCTATACATTTATATTTATTCCACTCCTAAATCAACTGAAGTCACTTTCCAGAATTTGGAAGGTAAATTCTGATTGGTCGACGTAGTGGAATTCAGTTTGGCGCTTGGGTAAGCAGACGGTAGTA